TATCCAGGTCTTCACACAGTCCTTGGCAAACTGTTAACACAATACTTGTCGGTAAAGTGTCCTGTCGGTAAAGTGTCCTGTCGGTAAAGTGTCTTGTCGGTAAAATGTCCTGTCAGTGAAGTGTCCTGTTGGTGAAGTGTCCTGTTGGTAAAATGTCCTGTTGGTAAAATGTCCTGTTGGTCAAGTGGGTGTTGGTAAAGTGTCCGGGTCCGCTTTTTTTGGATAGCCTAATTTTATAATAATAAATAAGCGAATGATGATGTATTATTATTATTAATATTAAATATTAACATTTTAATCGAACATATTGTTAACTATTTCTTGGCAATGACACTTATATATAATGTCATTTTTTTTATTTCTTTAAATGCTGACGAATTTATTATGAAATGACGGAACAAGAAATTGTAAACATAGTGTTGAGTTGAAGATAATGAGGGCGTTGATAAGATAAGTGAGCCAATTGTAACAAATACAGAAAATGTGCTTAAATATATACAACAAAAATATTTAGAAGTTGATCCTCAAATAATTAAAAATATATTGAGAAAATTTCTTATAGAAGCACCCAAGAAGCAAAACAATGTTTGCATTTATGAATTTATGAATATTATTATTAAAAAAATTTTTTTTTGTACACATTTAATTTGTATCACATGATTTGATAAGTTTCGATTTAGCGGATCTCTCGATTTAACGGATAAATTTTCAGGAAAAAATATCCGTTAAATCAAGACTCACTGTGTACAAAATTTGAAAAATAAGTTTTAGGCTGTGTAATGCCTTTATTTGCAATCAAATCAAACAATAAATTGATTAATCTAATTAATCTATTAACAATTCTTTACTGATATTAATATTATTTAATTAGGTGATGCTGCTTTTTTATATATTTTGAAAAAACGTTGTTTATAAATATGTATCACATGCTATGTAAATAAAACACTTAAAAAAAAAAATAAATTTTGAATACTACCATAATCATAAAAATGTAAAATTTATAAAAGTAAAAACCTCATTATTGATTTATCGAATTGCATTATTTCCACAAGTTACAACATTACTTTTATTGATGAAGGTAAAAACCAACAAATATCTTAGAATTTAATTAATCATTATTAATTAAATATATTAATGTTTGTAATTAGATGGCAAGTATTATTTGAAAATGTGAATTTAAGATACAAGCAATAAAAAAAAAAACCTGCCACTAAAATTGTTTATTGATTTAGCGTCTTAATCTTTTCTTAAAACGTTCAGCAACTATATCATCTGTTGCTATTTCTCTTCGAGCACCATGCTTGTTATTATTTGATGAGTTGTGATTTGATTGGTCACCCCCATTGTTAATTCTTTCATGGTCACTCACAGTTGGGCGTGTGCGATAAACTAAAAATCCAAGAAGATTTTGGAACATGATAACTTAACAATATATGGTTTTTTTATTAACAAAATTTACTTTTACTTACATCTGTTAGTAGCCGAAAAACTAGATCCTTCAAACTATAAAATGACAATTTCAATAAATAGCAGTAATTAATATATGTACATAGATATATTAAATAATTATTATCAATTGCAATGAATAAATTTCATTTACTGAATCCTTTTCAACTTTTGGTTTTTGATGTCTTTTTTCCAATAATTTTCTTTTTGCCTTCTCAGTTTCCTCAATATTTTTAAGTCGTACACTTGTAGAAAATAAATTTCATTAGCATTTTTTTTTTAAAAAAATATTTTTGTCATAAATAAATTAAACAAATAATTAATTCTAAACACAAACTCTATTCCTAAATCAACTTCTGGTATTGCAGTAAGCATGGTTGTAGATAATTGAACATTGCCTTCTGATATCGGTTTACTTTCAATCTATATGAAATTATTTTTTTATGAACCAATTTATCAAATATTTACATGATTATTAACAATGATAGTGGTGATAATACCCGTAGATGATCTGGTGGTTGAAAAAGCTCATCACGAGGGTCTGCGGGACCATTTTGTTCTTTGTCTTCTTCTTGATTTGATTTATCCTTTTGTCCTTTACGCTTTCGCATTTCTTCTTCAATATATGCCATCCTGAGAAATTGTAAATTGATTATTGTTTCTCATTTTGCAATATATATATATTATTTTTAATTAATTAATTAAATATTACATGTGTTTATCAACATCAAGAGTATTGGTTTGTTTGGTAAAGGAATCCAGCATGATTTTTTTCTTTGCAACAGTTTCATCATCTTCTTCTTCACTTTATTTTATTTTTAAAAAGAAAAATCAATGATTGATTAATGTCATCAAATTTCCAAAAAGTAAAAAATAAACACGAAATTACATTCATACTCTTTATTATTATCATTTGAATCTATAGTTTCGCCAGTATTTTGCTTCCAATTTTCATCATCTTTTTTCTTCTTTTTTTTTGATTCACCTTTTAATAATTTTTCCACATCAATGCCTTGAGGTTTCTTACGAAACTTTCGAAGCTCTTCAAGATCATCTAATGTTTCACTAAAATATTTTAAAACAAGGCTGATAAATTTTTTTTTAAATCATTTTTCTCAAAAAAAAATAATTTATTTATTTACTCAATTTGTGCCAAAGTTTCCTCTTCCTCTTCCGATTTAGTTTTCTTGCGATAATTACGATTTTTTTTAGACATTTCACAAATTTTACAAATGGCTTAAATGGGTTTTAAACATGGATTTATATTTATTTTGGGTGAAACAAGTACAACAGTATTTTTCCTTTTTTGTAATTTGCATTTTTTATTTTATCACTCACTATTACTATTACTATGCATATATTAATATATTGTACCGAAGAAAAATCAAGTCAAAGGATAACATTAATAATAATACAAATGAAGAAACGGTTCAATTCAAAAATTGATAATTTTATTTGCTCTTGATTTTTTTTTTTATTGATTTAAAAAATAAATAAAATGGGAAACATTATATACATTTACATATACAGTGAGAATAATTTTTAATTAAGTTCTTAAAGTTCTTATATTTAAATTAAGTATTATTTTTATTTTTTTTCTAATTATTATTTTTCAAATTATATATTTCATTTTGGATTAGTTCTTCTTTGAATATTTATTTGTTTGTCCTAATTTTTGTTGAGATGGATAACTTTCAAGTTATCAAATAATCAGAATCATCACCAATTATTGGAGTGATAGCTTTCAAAATGGGGCGCAATAGCTATCAACATGATATTTTGAATACACTCATCAATATGATGAATGCGAGGATGCCAAGCAAACACCATTATCACAACGACGCCACAACAATATTCGGTAATTAATAGTCGACTCTTAAAAGCTCATTTATCTCTCTCTGCGCAAAACTTGCTGAAAAACAGTCCTTTCATGGGGGAAAGTAGCATGAACACGCACCATCATTGAAAACAATTACATATTGTTTTCAATATCCAAAACCGTAAGCTTTATCATCCATACTTCAAATAGATGAAAGAAGCAGCAAAACTTCTGACATCTATTAATGCTATCAACAACAATATAATTTGTTATATTGTTGCTGGCAGTGTTTCCAACGTTGGTATTGTTGACGTTGGTATTGTTGACGTTGGTATTGTTGGCATTGTTGATGTTGGCATTGCCGGGCTGGTATTGTTGACGTTGGTATTGTTGACGTTGGTATTGTTGACGTTGGTATTGCTGTTAGTATTGGTAATATTATTGTTATCATCGCTGGCAGTGCTGCTTACATTGCCGATGCTGGTATTGTTGATGGAGGTGAAAGTAGTAATAATGTTGTCCTTTATCATAATAATGCTGTCAATGGTATGGTGTACCGATAGTGAGTGCCGTGATGTGGTATTGTTGATACCACACCATTAATTTCGTCCAAAAGTTCGTAAACAAAAGATATTAAGAAACTATATGATCATGAAGAAACCATCTCAATTTTAATTCTAGACAACGAAGATTTTTTATGTATATAATAATTATCAATTTTTTTAGGAAAGAAAAATATAATAATAGTAATAGAAATGCCCCCCTTTTTTAATTAAAAAAAATTTTTTTTTCAGCCAAATCAGTCTCTTTAAAAAGAAAATTTTGTTGTTGATTGCAGGAAAAAAGCGCGCACATAATGAAATTGTTGAAGGTTTTAGAAATATATTTATCTTATACAAAAGGGTAAGTTATTTCCTTTATAGGTAAAGATATTCACATTTCAATTTTTCTATTTTTTAACACCATTAATATATTGGTATTACCAAGAATTTCAGGGATCAAAATTTAGTCATTTGTAATGTGATTATAATTAAACAGTTTTATAATGTCACATTTGTGATATATAGAATTATCCCTATATAAAAATAGTTAATATGAAACTCATTTATATCAGATCTACTATGGAACCCAAGAATTATGGCACCATTAGAAGTATTCTAAAAAAGGAACAAGGTGAAAAAATTGCACCTTACATTTTCAAAATAAATGATACTCAG